ATACTTTATAATTTTTGGTTTGATAAAAAAGCTGATGTGGACCGATTAAATCGAGTTCTTCCGTCCTAATCATACTTAACATTTTTTTATTTAATGAATATGCTGATGTGGATCAATCAGATCGAATTTTTTAATCACATGTGGACGTCATCAATGCACTATGCCATCAATTTTTATATATTATATGATTGGTAAAAATGTGATTTTGAGTCCTTGCAAGTTCTTGTGTTGCAAGCAAGCGCTACTTCAAGGACTCAAAATTGTTGGAACAGGATGTGATACAGTCACAGCTACTGTGACAAATGAGATAGAGACACAGTAACAGATGCTTGTGTTGCAAACAAGCGTTACTTCATTCTCTTTGGCTTCTCGTTGGTGTTGCAGAGCGTTCAAAAAAAATTATTTGCATGCCTTTAGTCCATAGTGCACATCATAGTTTTAAATGGATTAGCTTATTCTAAAGAGATAATTGGACCAATGTTCAACAGTTAACATAATCAGCTAATCAATGATTTTGTAGGAGAATAACTTATGCTGATAAGCTTATAAACAGAATTAGCAATGAACATGATCACAGAAATCAACAACAATAAACAAAATAAGCTCATCATGCTTTTTCATAATAATCTTATCAACAAGATGAGAGAACATATAAGAAATGAACAGTACAGTTAAGTTCTCTGAATCAATGTTTAGCAATAAACATAATCAGAAATAAACAAAATAGATATAATAATTTTTATCAATATTTGCGGGAAGAGAGAACTTATCAGCAATCACTGATCCACGATTTTTCATTGACGGATCCTTGATCAACTGTGTCTGTGACTCTAAATTCGTAAGCATTACACTGATCATTGGCATCATAATTAGTTAGTTCAACTTTTGCTAAAAAAACAAAATTATGTCATGCTCAAGATAATAAGCAAAATTATGTCATGCTCAAGATAATTAACATGCGGCAAATTTACCTCCTTGGTCATTGCTGGAATGCTGGGCTATCGGCCCCTTATCTTGTGGAAGAAAATCTTTGATTAAAAATTAATTAATTTTTAAGACGACGACTTGAAAAACATGTGGATAATTTTCTCCGGTCTTCTTCCTTCTTTTTCCACCAATAATTTCAATTATCTCTTTCTCAACGTGAATAACGCTTCGTACAAAGACTTGATGGTGAGTCAATCTGAGTGGGAACTCTTGAGGCTACCGATACTATAGTAACAAATAATCTCTTTTTGACTTAAATTCTTTTGAAATGTCTTTTCTCATCTAATTTCTTCTTCATTAAGGCTTTCGTTATTATTTTCAGTGTATAGCTTTTAATTTGGTTGTACTGTCAACTTTGAAATTTCTGGTGAGAAAAGGAATACCAAAATGTTTTGTTTTGAACTCGACTATATTCAACACAAATACATGTGTACAGTCTTCACTCAACGTGAATAACGCATCGTACAAACACTTGATGGTGAGTGAATTAGGAGCACTGTCTATATGAAATCTATATAAAGAGATGGGGCATGAAACCATGATTTTCAAGAAAGTTATATAAGCCTAAAGAAGAAGGAAAGACTCTTGGAACTCAATGAGGACCATTCAAATAATTACTTTTTCTTTTCTCTTCTCGTTCATATTTTATTTTCAAAACATGTCTGCTCTTCCTCTTAGACATGTGTGCCGTCCTGAACAAAGGATGCACTTCTCAAGTTCAAGAACGAGTTTGAGATTGGGGAGTCTTCTTTTTATGAGTGTTATGTTAATGGTAGCTATGTAAGGCCTCATCCAAAGACAGAGTCATGGAAACATAACAGCGAATGTTGTTATTGGGACGGTATCACATGTGATACCAGTTCGGGGGAAGTGATCGAGCTAGATCTCAGCTGCAGCTGCCTCCATGGCAGGTTTCATTCCAATACCTTTCAAAACATTCCTTTTCTATCTTCTCTAGACTTTTCATATAATGATTTATATGGTCAAATCTTATTCTCCATTGGAAAACTTTCACATCTCACCTCTCTCGACCTTTCTTTAAATCAATTTTCGGGTCAGATTCCGTCTTCAATTGAAAACCTTTCCAATCTTACCTCTCTCTATCTTTCTGATAATAAGTTTTCGGGTCAGATTCCATCCTCAATTGGAAACCTTTCACATCTCATCTCTCTCTCCCTTTCTGATAATCAGTTTTGGGGTCAGATTCCATCTTCAATTACAATGCTCACTCATCTGGAATCGCTTGACGTGAGTAATAACAGTTTCAGTGGTGAAATCCCATCTTCTCTTGGCAGTTTGAAGCAGTTGTCGTCTTTATCACTGGACTCCAATCAATTCACAGGAATGCTTCCTCCAAACATTAGCTCACTCTCCAACTTGGAGTATTTTTCCGCAAAAGATAACGCTTTGGTTGGAACCGTTCCTTCTTCTCTCTTAAACATTCTTTCTTTGGCTTATATTTTTTTGTCAAATAACCAACTCAATGGCACTCTTGAGTTTGGGAATATATCTTCACCATCTAATCTCCTATGGTTATTCCTTGGCGGTAACAACTTCAGAGGGCCAATCCCCAGATCCATTTCCAAATTAGTCAATCTTGAGATACTTGAGCTTTCCCATTGGAACACCCAAGGCCCAGTTGACCTCAGCATCTTCTCGCATCTCAAGTCGCTCAAATGGCTTAGATTATCCCATTTGAACACTACAACAACGATTGACTTGCATTCAATCTCATCATTTTCCAAGTCACTCGAATTATTAAATCTCTCAGGGAACTATGTTTTAGCCACAAACAAAAGTTCAGTTTCAGATTCTCCTTCACAGATGATACGTTATTTAAACTTATCAGGCTGCAGTATTACAGGATTTCCAGAGCTCGTAAGAACCCAGCAGGATATGGAGGATCTTGACATTTCCAACAACAAAATCAAAGGTCAAGTTCCTGGCTGGTTATGGACACTGCCAAATCTGACGTCCGTGAATCTTTCCAACAACACTTTCATCAGTTTTGAAAGCTCAACGAAACATGGACTATCCCCTGCCTTGAAATACTTGTTTGGCTCTAAAAACAACTTCACAGGAGAGATTCCATCTCTCATATGCGAGTTTCACTCTCTAACTATTCTAGATTTATCAAGTAACAACTTCAATGGTCCAATACCTCTTTGCATGGGAAATCTCAAGAGCACACTTTCATTTCTGAACCTACGTCAGAACCGTCTTAGTGGAGGTCTTCCGAAGATTGTATTTAAAGGTCTACGAACACTTGACCTTGGAAATAACCAATTGGTGGGAGAGCTTCCAAGATCTTTGATCCATTTCTCTGCTCTTGAAGTTCTGAATGTGGAAAGCAACAGAATCAACGACACGTTTCCGTTATGGTTGAGTTCTCTACAAAACCTGAAAGTTCTTGTCTTGCGCTCCAATGCATTCCATGGGTCGATAAATCAAGGAGTATTCCGTAAGCTGAAGATCATCGACATATCACACAATCAATTCAATGGAACTCTACCATCTGATTATTTTGAAAAGTGGAGTTCAATGTCATCACTTGGGACTCATGAAGATCAGTCAAAGGAACGTTACATGGGAGATGAATTAGGCTATTACAAAGATTCAATGGTTTTGGTGAATAAAGGTGTAGCATTGGAGCTGGAACGTATCCTAAAAATCTACACAACACTCGACTTCTCTGGAAACAAACTTGAAGGCGAGATTCCAAAGTCCATCGGCTTACTTAAAGAGCTTCTTGTTCTCAACTTGTCAAACAATGCTTTCACTGGCCACATTCCATCATCTATGGGGAACCTTACAGCTCTGGAGTCACTAGACGTTTCCCAAAACAAGCTTTCAGGAGGAATTCCACAAGAGCTAGGGGATCTCTCGTTCCTTTCATACATGAACTTCTCCCATAACCAGCTTGTAGGTCAATTACCAGGAGGCACTCAGTTTCGAAGGCAGAACTGCTCCTCCTTCGGAGACAACCCGGGACTTTTCGGCCCTGCTCTTGAAGAAGATTGCGGAGATATCCACAAGCCTTCATCGCAACAGTCTGAAACACCAGAACCAAAAGAAGAAGAAGATGAAGAGGTGTTCAGTTGGATTGCAGCTGCAATAGGATTTGTCCCTGGTATTGCGTTTGGGTTGACGATTGGATACTTATTTGTTTCATAAAAACCAGAGTGGTTCACGAGTCCTTTTGGTCGAAACAAACGCAGAAGAAGAAGCACCACAACTAACTAGAGAGGTAATGTTCTGAATATGAAAAAATATATTATAATAGAATTTTCTGGATGAATGAATAAGTGAAACTAACGTATATTTTGTTTGTGTAGCCTTCGTAAACCCAAGTTGAAGAATCTTTGAGAAAGAGAATGGACCGGAGAGAAAGAAGAGAGAAAGAAGCTTGATTTCAGTTACTCTGTTTTTGTTGTGTTCTTTCCTCTGTTTTTCTCTTTTACTTTGTCTTTAGCCAATGTTTGTATTTCTATGTATTTATAGCACAAAAGCATTCCTGTTTATTCGATGGACATGATTAACATAGTCAAGGTCCAATCATAAGAGGATTTATCATATATTTACCATAACAGATTTCGTCTATCTTTCTTTCTTCTTCAGGCTCCTGTGAACTATGTGTGTTTACATTGTGTGAAACCAAGTTTAGGACCATTATCAATGGCTCTCTCTACCGTTGCGATTTCACATATTCCGCGATGTCGGTATCGTTCAGGTAAAATAGATCTGTTCCTGTCATCGCCAATACTTGAAAGAACAAAACAGAAACCAAAATGCTGCATTGTTGTTGTATATGCAGGATCATATCAAAATGCTGCATTGATTCTTACATCAGTTCTGTTCTTAGCTGCTGCTATAGCTATATGGTATATTAATTAATATAGATTCTACGGTATAACATAAACCGTTGATAAAAACATAAAAACAAGAATAATCTGAGTTAAAAAAGAACAGGGGAGAAAAGTTTCGAGGCTAATCAATGATTAATAGAGCCTACCGGTACACTCAGAAGAACCACAGTAGCAAATCTTCTTCTTGATATTACCGTTAACATCGCGCACCTGGTCGATCATGTAATTGTAATGGTAAGTGAGTTCTTGAAGCGGAGGTATATTGTCCATCGCAAACAGCATCACGTGAGGGATCCTCTTGTCTTCATGATCATACAACACGTTCTGCGCATACAGATTCGGCGAGCAGCTGTGGTTTATAAACCTCCCGATGTTCCCTTTCTTCGCGGCGTCGACGGTGAACCCCGTCGTCTCACCACCATCTTCTTCTTCTTTCTCTTTCTCCAACCCTGGCATTAGCTTCGACATCCCTTCAGCTAAAGTGTTGTCGTATTTGTTCCCAATGTCAAAGAGATACTCGTCGTTCACTGTCCTTCTCTCAGCTTCTTTATCCTCCAAAAGCTCGCCGACGTACTCGCATATGAAGCTACCCGAAGGTATCGAGCTGAGAGACCTCACTCCCCAGCCTCTCGACTCGGTTTTGAAGATCTCCAGCTTGAACCTGATCCCTCGCTGCGTGACTCTTAGGTAGCAAGCAGGAGGACATTTGCAGAGAGGGCCACACTCGTAGATCAAGCTCTTTGGATAAACTATGTTCCCATCGTAGTTGTAAATGGAGGAGGCGTGAGCCACTATCTCTCCTCCGTTTTTCGCCACGCAGGCGCGTGAGCAACTTTGGGTAAATGGAGGAGGCTCCTCGTCGTCGATTTCGTTCACCGCGCAAATGGGCAATCTCTCTATACATCAGTCGTTCAAACAAAAACGCACAGATTTCGAGAGAGAGAGAGAGAGAGCGCACAGAGATTGAGAGTTCTATCAATCTTTCTTCTTGAGAGTTCTTGAAAGATTCATACTTTTGTTTTCTGATATGATCTTAGGCGCAGTAACTATCATTTGTGGGATCATTGGGACATTATCAGGAGGGTTTATACTCGATCGTGTCACTGCAACAATTCCAAATGCTTTCAAGGTGAAGAAGAAAAGCTTTTCTCTCTCTATGTTTTCGGATTTTGAATCAAAACCTTTTGATATTTGTATGTGTAGCTTTTAACCGGAGCAACGTTTCTTGGAGCCATCTTTTACTTCACTACATTTACCTTTTTTTATATAGTGAACAAAAAAGAAAGTCTTCTTTATTCCTGATTTTGTCTACCAGAGAGCTAAAGCAATCAAATGGATGATATAGTTCCTACTGTGGGAGGATCTCATTTAAAGCTTGCAAATGGCTTCTGGAGTATTGATGATGTGAAGAACAAGCGACCCACAAAAGACAATTTAACTTGTCATGGAAAAGCCATTTGGAGAGCATATCTAATTCGTAAGCTACTAAACTACTACTATTCAGTGGTCTCTCACTAAATTTGTTTTTCTGAGTTTGAGAACTTTCTCATTTATATTCGCAAAAACTAGGTATGGCGTGGGACTCAAGCATCCCCGTACAGCTACCAATGATGATTTACATTAAAAACCTTAGGTTCCACGTCGTTGATTGTTACCTCTGTATTGCTTGCATCAACTTCTCACCAGCAATGTCAAAGGTGACATCAGAACCTTCCATGTTATCCAGTAAAACTCCAAAATGTGATCCAAGCTCTGAATCAGGGACGTGAACAGAGTGAAGTTATCACGAATTGATGCGACCCGAGCTCGACGGCGATGAAACCCGAACCGGATTCAATCCAGGGATCAGTGATCCGGACATGGCTTTGAATTCTCGGGGCTCATTTAGCGTTGCTACAGCGAAGCATTCATAGGAAACACTATCCTGATCAACTATTTCGCTGTTAGCAGGAATCGATTATTTCTAGGGTTCTGAATTTCCAAGACCGTTTAAAAAAAATCGCAAGTGGGAAGTGAAACAGACCGTCGTCAACAATTCATAACTATCAATAACGAACGCCATCACCATTCTTTTTTCATTAAACATGTAGTGCATAATCTATATCAGATCTTCCTTTGGAATATAGAATTAAATTAACTAGATAGGAAACACACAAAAGCTTCAGATTTGCATTGAAAAACTTAAATTACACGTTTCAGGCTGTAGAATTCTCTTTTTGGTTATAGAGAATATGATCATTGTGCTTCTTCTCAGTTCTTTACCTTTTTTTCCTATAGATTCTTCTTGATATCATTTTCTTCTGGATTTATGTTCTTGTTCTTGTCGTCTTCTTTCACTTGATTATTCTCCAAAGAAAAATCTTCTGCTTTCTCGTGAATTCTCATATACCGCCTTCCTAAAACACATGATAAAACCGTTACAAATAATATACCTACTTGGATGAAATACCATTGATCTATGATAGAGTTTTTCATTGTTTTTTTTTTATTTTGTTATCTTAGATTATAACAAAAAAAAAAGCAGAGCAAAATTGTTTGTCGATGATCAAAATTTCTTAAGAGTTGTTTGTATATATATTGGCTTTCCACTATTGGAACATTACCATTTTGGATACATCTTGCTAGGAAAACAAACTAATAAGTACTATAGTAGTTTGTTTTTTTGTCTTTTGAATCAATAAACAGTATATTTCCTTTTTTTATATAGTGAAAAAAACGAACTTTCTCATTTATATTCGCAAAACTAGGTATGGCGTGGAACTCAAGCATCCCACACCCACTCTTGCGTTTGAAACCCACTTTGTCATGTTCGTAACTTGCTTCATAACCGAAAACGGAAGAATTTGGGTAATTTTCTTAACTGTCTACACACTGCACTACAGCACACCCTTGTGTAGTGGTTTACCATTCTCACATTGCCAAAAAAACAGAACCACATGACCTTGAGGAATATTTCTTAGAGATTCCTCCTGTAGCAAAAGCCATTGGATTTCTTAAATAAATTGGTAAAAATGTTGATTTTTAGTCCTTGCAAGTAATAGATGCTTGTGTTGCAAGCAAGCGCTACTTCAAGGACTCAAAATTGTTCGAACAGAATGTATTACAGTCACAGGAACTGTGACAAATGAGATAGAGACACAGATGTTGTGTCTGAACCTACATGACAAATGAGATAGAGATACAGTAATAGATGTTTGTGTTGCAAGCAAGCGCTACTTCATTTCAGTTCCAAGAAGAGATAATACTTATTCTCTTTGGCTTCTCGTTGGTTTTGCAAAGCTTTCAAAAGAATTTATTTGCATGCCTTCTGTCCATAGTGCACATCATAGTTATTAATGAAGAAGATAATTGGACCAATGTTCAACAGTAAACATAATCAGCTAATCAATGATTTTGTAGGAGAACAACTTATCAGCGACTATGAACACTGATGCTGATAAGCTTATAAACAGAATTAACAATGAACATAATCATAGAAAGCAACAACAATAAACAAAATAAGCTCATCATGCCTTTTCATAATAATCTTATTATGATTTTGCAAGATGAGAACTTATCAGCAATAAACAGTACAGTTAAGTTACTGAATCAATGTTTAGCAATAAACAAAATAGACATAATAATTTTTTATCAATATTTGCGGAAAGAGAACTTATCAGTAATCATTGATCCACAATCCAGTTCATTGACGGTTCCTTGATCAACTGTGACTCTAAATTAGTAAGCATTACACTGATCATTGGCATCATAATTAATTAGTTAATTCAACTTTTGCTACATTAATTTCGCCACACCTTTACGACCAATTTGAGACTACCAGGCAACTATTTATAGCTAAAATTAGATTCACCAACTAAAACTATTGTTTTTCACACTTTTAACCAATTTTATTTTTTTAATGGCTTCAGTAACTGAATGCAAAAAAAAAAAAAATATATTATGTCATGCTGGGCTAACGAAGAATCACGACGTTATAATAAGTTTAAACATATATCTGGACCACAAAGAAAATATACAGTATTTCGATTAGATTAATTTATTTTTAGTATCACGACGCAATTGAACAAATCATATAAATCAAACTCGAAGAAAGAAAAAATGTATCATGACAAAAGAAACCAAACAAATAGATTTCTCAAACTATCCAGCAATATTGACTAGTCAGTTTTGTTTCACGGGGGAAAAGACAAATGACGATGACTTGAAAAGTAAGCCAACTCTGCTCTCAACTCCAACAATTTCAAAGTCACTCTTTCTTTTTCAACCTTATCTTCTTGCTGAGAGCTCTCTTTACCTCGACCACATGATTATCATTACCCATAACAAATCGTCTCTTCTTGACTTGTACTCATTATTTAATTTGGTTGGACCAAAATGTTTGGAGCACAAATACATTCACTCTGTTTGCTCAACGTGAATAATACTTCGTACAAAGACTTGATGGTGAGTCAATCTGGAGCACTCTCTATATGCAATGTATATAAAAGAGATGGGCATGAAACCATGTTTTGCTATCACCATTGCTATTTTTCGTTTCTTCATTATTGACTATTGGAACTCAATGAGTACCATTACAATTACTTTTTCTTTTCTCTTCTCCTTTATACTTTATTTCCAAAACGTGTCTGCAGTTCCTACTAAACATGTGTGTCGTCCTGAACAAAGGGATGCACTTCTCCAGTTCAAGAACAAGTTTGAGATTCGAGAGTCTTCTCATGATATGTGTTATTTTATTATTGGTAGCCATGATAGCTTTGTAAGCCATTATCCGAAGACGGAGTCATGGGGAAATAACAGTGATTGTTGTTATTGGGATGGCATCAAGTGTGATGCCAGTTCTGGGGAAGTGATAGAGCTCGACCTCAGTTGGAGCTGCCTCCATGGCAGGTTTCATTCGAATACCTTTCAAAACATTCCTTTTCTAATATCTCTAGACCTTTCACGTAATGATTTATATGGTCAGATCCCATCCTCTCTTGGAAAACTTTCTCATCTCACCTCTCTCAACCTTTCTCGTAATCATCTTTTTGGCCAGATTCCATCTTCAATTGGAACTCTTTCCAATCTCACCTCTCTCGCTCTTTCGGATAATCAGTTTTGGGGTCAGATTCCATCTTCAATTGAAACTCTTTCAAATCTCACCTCTCTTGACCTTTCTAATAATCAGTTTTGGGGTCAGATTCCATCCTCAATTGAAAATCTTTCAAATCTCATCTCTCTCGATCTTTCTGGTAATCAGTTTTCGGGTTAGATTCCATCCTCAATTGGAAATCTTTCAAATCTCACCTCTCTCACTCTTTCTCGTAATCAGTTTTGGGGTCAGATTCCATCCTCAATTGGAAATCTTTCAAATCTCACCTCTCTCACTCTTTCTCGTAATCAGTTTTGGGGTCTGATTCCATCCTCAATTGGAAACCTTTCACAACTCACCTCTCTCGATCTTTCTAATAATCAGTTTTGGAGTCAGATTCCATCTTCAATTACAAAGCTCTCTCATCTCGAATCTCTTGACCTGAGTTATAACAATTTTGATGGTGAAATCCCATCTTCTTTTGGCTGTTTGAAACAGTTGACCGGCTTAGATTTAGGATCCAATAAGCTTAGTGGTAACTTTCCTGCTGCACTACTTAATTTGACAAAGTTGTCGTCTTTATCACTGAGCTCCAATCAACTCACAGGAACGCTTCCTCCAAACATTAGCTCACTCTCCAATTTGGAATATTTTTTTGCATATCGCAACGCTTTGGTTGGAACCATTCCTTCTTCTCTCTTCAACATTCCTTCTTTAACAAATATTTTTTTGTCAAATAACCAACTCAACGGCACTGTTGAGTTTGGGAATATATCTTCACCATCGAAGCTTCAAGTGTTATACCTTGGCGATAACAACTTCATAAGGCCAATCCCCATATCCATTTCCAAATTAGTCAATCTTGAGTATCTTGACCTTTCCCATTGGAACACCCAAGGCACAGTTGACTTCAGTATCTTCTCGAATCTTAAGTCGCTCCAATATCTTCGCCTCTCCCATTTGAACACCACAACAACGATTGACTTGCATGCAATCTCCTCAATTTCCCAGTCACTCCGGGGACTGGATCTCTCAGGGAACCATGTTTTAGCCACAAACAAAAGTTCAGTTTCAGATTCTCCTTCACAGATGATAAGTCAGTTAAACTTGTCAGGCTGTAGTATTACTGAAATTCCGGAGCTCCTAAGAACCCTGCAGGATATGGATACTCTAGACATTTCCAACAACAAAATCAAAGGTCAAGTTCCTGGCTGGTTATGGTCACTACCATATCTGACGTACGTGAATCTTTCCAACAACACTTTCGTTAACTTTGAAAGATCAACGAAACATGGACTATCCTCTGACCTGGAGTACTTGTTTGGCTCTAAAAACAACTTCATAGGAGAGATTCCATCTCTCATATGCGAGTTTCACTCTCTAAGGGTTCTAGATCTATCAAGCAACGATTTCAACGGTTTAATCCCTCTTTGTATGGGACATCTCAAGAGAAATCTCTCAGTTCTGAACCTACGACAGAACCGTCTTAGTGGAGGTCTTCCGAAGAATGTATTTAAAGGTCTAAGAACGCTTGATCTTGGACATAACCAATTGGTGGGAAAGCTTCCAAGATCGTTGATCCATTTCTCCACTCTTGAAGTTCTGAATGTGGAAAGCAACAGAATCAACGACACGTTTCCCTTCTGGTTGAGTTCTCTACAGAACCTGCAAGTTCTTGTCTTACGCTCCAATGCATTCCATGGACCATTACATCAAGCCTCATTCTTTCAGCTGAAAATCATGGACATCTCACATAATCACTTCAGCCGAACTCTGCCATCTGATTACTTCATCAACTGGAGTTCAATGTCATCACTTGGGATTCATGAAGATCAGTCAAACGTAGGTTACATGGAAGACAAATCAGGCTATTACCATGACTCAATAGTTTTGGTGAATAAAGGAACAGAGATGGAGCTGGAACGTATCCTAAAAATCTACACAGCACTCGACTTCTCTGGAAACAAACTTGAGGGCGAGATTCCAAAGTCCATCGGCTTATTGAAAGAGCTTCGTGTTCTCAACTTGTCAAACAATGCTTTCAGTGGCCACATACCATCGTCCATGGGGAACCTTACAGCTCTCGAGTCACTAGATGTTTCCCAAAACAAGCTTTCAGGAGAAATTCCACAAGAGCTAGGGGATCTCTCGTTCCTTTCATACATGAACTTCTCCCATAACCAGCTTGTAGGTCTATTAACAGGAGGCACTCAGTTTCGAAGGCAGAACTGCTCTTCATTCGGAGACAACCCGGGACTTTTCGGCCCTGCTCTTGAAGATGATTGCGGAGATATCCACAAGCCTTCATCGCAACAGTCTGAAACGCCAGAGCCAAAAGAAGAAGAAGATGAAGAGGTGTTAAGTTGGATTGCAGCTGCAATAGGATTTGTACATGGGATTGCGTTTGGGTTGACGATTGGATACATATTGGTTTCATACAAACCAGAGTGGTTCACGAGTCCTTTTGGTCGAAACAAAAGCAGAAGAAGAAGAAGCACCACAGCTAACTAGATAGGTAATGTTCTGATTTTTTTAAAAATATATTATAATAGCATTTTCTGGATGAATGAATAAGTGAAGCTAACGTATATTTTGTTTGTGTAGCCTTCGTAAACCCTACTTGAAGAATATTTTGCAAAAAGTTTGGGGTAGAAGACAACCCATTTCAGTTATCAGCGCCTTGATTTCAGTTATTGTTTCCGGTTACTCTGTTTTTGTTGTGTTCTTTCCTCTGTTTTCCTCTTTTACTTTGTCTTTAGCCAATGTTTGTATTTCTATGTATTTATAGCACAAAAGTATTCCTGTTTATTTGATGGACATGATTATACATAGTTAAGGTCCAATCATAAGGATTTATCAAAAGAGATATATTTACCATAACAGATTTCGTCTTTCTTCTCTTCAGGCTCCTGTGAACTATGTGTGTTTACATTGTGTGAAACCAAGCTTAAGACCATAATCAACGGCTCTCTCTACCGTTGCGATTCACATATTTGGCGATGTTCCTTGACAAAAGATCAGAGAGAAGTGATCCTAGCAATACATATTTGGCGATGTTCCATAATCAACTTCTTCTAGTCGGTATCGCTCAGGTAAAAAATACCTCTTCCTGCCATCGCCAATAATTGAAAGAACAGAAACCAAAATGCTCCATTGTTGGAGAAAAACAGCATTGATTCTTACATCGGTTCTGTTCTTAGCTGCTGCTATAGCTATATGGTATATTAATTTATATAGATTCTACGGTATAACATAAACTGTTGATGAATAACATAAAACAATGAAGAATCTGAGTTTAAAACAGGGGAGAAAAAGTTTGAGGGTAATCGATTAATAGAGCCTACCGGTACACTCAGAAGAACCACAGTAGCAAATCTTCTTCTTGATATTACCGTTAACATCGCGCACCTGGTCGATCATGTAGTTATAATGGTAAGTGAGTTCTTGAAGCGGAGGTATATTGTCCATCGCAAAGAGCATCACGTGAGGGATCCTCTTGTCTTCATGGTCATACAACACGTTCTGCGCATACAGATTCGGCGAGCAGCTATGGTTTATAAACCTCCCGATGTTCCCTTTCTTCGCGGCGTCTACGGTGAACCCCGTCGTCTCACCACCATCTTCTTCTTCTTTCTCTTTCTCCATCCCTGGCATTAGCTTCGACATCCCTTCAGCTAAAGTGTTGTCGTATTTGTTCCCAATGTCAAAGAGATACTCGTCGTTCCCTGTTCTTCTCTCAGCTTCTTTATCCTCCAAAAGCTCGCCGACGTACTCGCATATGAAGCTACCCGAAGGTATCGAGCTGAGAGACCTCACTCCCCAGCCTCTGGACTCGGTTTTGAAGATCTCGAGCTTGAACCTGATCCCTCGCTGTGTGACTCTTAGGTAGCAAGCAGGAGGGCATTTGCAGAGAGGGCCACACTCGTAGATCAAGCTCTTTGGATAAACTATGTTCCCATCGTAGTTGTAAGGTATCTCTCCTCCGTTTCTCGCCACGCAGGCGCAGTTTCTACTCTCCGTGCATGGTTTTGTGCAGCCGCATCCCTTTCGTCTTCACAACGTTTGGCTCTTCAAAAGGACCAATACGGCAAACAAATGCTCAGAGGCTGAACATCAATGGCTTTTCCATGTTTTCTTCCTCTTTCGCTCAGAGACATTACTTTTGCTCAATGAACTAACTTTCGATGACTCTGTGTTCACCATGTTTTCCACTACACCCATTCCAAAACTCATCAAAGAGACGCACACCAATGTTTTTCTATGAAGCAAAAGTTCACCAGATTTGTACTGCAACAATGAAGAATTTGGCAAATCAAAAACCACAGCACACGAAAAACATCAATTCATCATATTCCAAAATCTAAGTTTCGTTCGTTTTCAAGGATTCTAAGCTAAGATTTCGCGGAAACAGAACACCAAATTTCCGAATCATGCAGGACAACATCACGATCTCTCAATACATCAATCGTTCAAACAGAAACGCGAAGGAATCGATCGATTATATAGTCAACTTCGCGTCTCGGAGCAGCAAAAGAGTGGGAAACAGACCAAGATTAAGGTAAGGGACAAGATTTACCGATGAGAAGAACGATCGAGGCGGAGAAGAAGATGATGATGAATCGGATTTCGATCTGCCTGAAGTTTCTCAATAGTCAGAATTCGAATTCGATTCTAGGTTAAATCAGGAAGTTTGATTTGATTGAGAACATTTGAAGGAAACAAAGGAACAAATTTGCGATTTGTTTCCTAATTTTTTTTTTCAACTGAATTTTATTAAAATGACATTGGAATACATTACTACAAATTGGAATGAAGCCTAAAAATCAGACCAATTTATCTAGATGCAAGAGGAAAACAACAGAAAGCACATTTGTTGAATTTACATAATTTACATGAACGGAGGAGGCTCCTCGTCGTCGATTTCGTTCACCGCGCAAATCGGCAACCTCTCGTGCCCAATCATGCCGGACAATATCACGATCTCTAAATACATCAATCGTCAGAATTCGATCTGCCTGAAGTTTACCGATGAGAAGAAGATGGGATTTCGATCTGCCTGAAGTTTCAATAGCCAGAATTCGAATGAGTAAGTTTGATTTGATTGAGAACATTTGAAGGAAATAAAGGAACAAATTTGCGATTTGGAGAGAGTAAAATCTCAAACGTCGCGAAAAAGACGCACAGAAATACATGTACGGTACAGTGCCACGATTCACGTCACAGTGACGACATATGTTTTTCTTTTTTCTTTTTTTCGTAAAATCTGATTATTTTATAGTATTATACTATTTTATAGTAAAAGGGTGATACAAATAGTTTATTGGTTTTTTTTATCAATAACCATATTTGCAAAATAACAGAAGAATATAACTATGCTATTTGACAAATTAGTAAACTAACTATGGTCCACAATCAATTATCGAAAATAACTTTGTACTATATTATACTATATACTATACTATATATAATTTTATGGAATAGTCCTCTCTTTTTGATATAATGTATATATAGAAAAATAGAAGAAGAGAGAGAAATTTCACGAGAGAGGAGGAGAGAAGAGGAAAAGGGAGGCGAGGAGAGGGAAAGAGAGAAGGAGAAATGAGATGAGTGGAGGTGAACAGAGAAAAGGAAAGGGAAAATGATTAGAAGAGAAGAGAAGATCGTAAAGGAAAGAAATTAAGACAAAAATAAAAAGGGTAATTTTGTATATATTGTAGAATATATAAGGAATGTTATAGCACCTACTTTACTATAGTTATTTCATGAATTTAACTTAGAAATATGATCATATGACCCAATTTCTCTAGTTTATTATCCAAAAAAATAGTGAATGAAAAACAAACGTAAACTATTTAATTCATAAACTTTTTTACAATATATCCATTATCTGATTTTTTTCCTGATTAAGTATTAACATATTCTAAAGAATAAGCTGATGACAAATATCACAAAAATAAAATTTCCAAATTCCATGTTTTCTTGACTTCTATTGATAATTTGAATTAGTTGGAAACAGTTTCCTTTGAACCATACATTCCTCCATCTTTTACTCCACACGTTGCACAACATGTAAGAAACCATTTGCTTCGGGTTTTAATGGGGTATAGACTCGTGGCAATTTGGCATTTCAAGACTCTACAACTTTGTTATTGGAGCATACTCATATTGGATACCAAATGCTGTTATAACATTTACAAAATGGTGAAAAAGTTGTTTCTATCAATCTTTCTTTTTGAGGGTTCTTGAAAGTTTGTTTTCTGATAAGAATTTTATCTTGATAGAAAAGTGCCAATTTGATCTTCGGCGCAATAACTATCATTTGCGGGATCATTGGGACATTATCAGGAGGGTTTATACTTTATCGTGTCACTGCAACAATTCCAAATGCTTTTAAGGTGAAGAAGAAAAGCTTTTTTCCCTCTTCTTGTTTTTGGACTTTGACACAAAACCTTTTTGATCTTTGTATGCAGCTTTTATCCGGAGCAACGTTTCTTGTAGCGATCTTTTGCTTCACTGCATTTACCTTAAAGAGTTTATACGATTTCATCGCTCTCTCTGCCTTAGGAGAGCTTCTTGTGTTTGCTACACAGGTAAAAAAAACTTTGAGCCTTAGTGTTGTTGTAATATTGTTATGTTCTTCATCAAGAACAAGAACAAATTCGTCTTATCTTCTTCTTCTTCTTCTTCAGGCTCCTGTGAATTATGTGTGTTTACATTATGTGAAGCCAAGTTTGAGACCACTATCAATGGCGATCTCTACCGCCGCGATTCACATATTTGGCGATGTTCCTTCTTCTCCTCTTGTCGGTATCGTTCAGGTAAAAAAAAGATCTCTTCTTGTCATCACCAATTCTTGAAAAGAGAGAAAACAGAAACCAAGATTGCTCCACTGTTGTTGTATATGCAGGATCATATAAACAGTTGGAGAAAAACAGCATTGATTCTTACATTGGTCCTGTTCTTAGCTGCTGCAATATGGTTTATAGGTAAAAGCAAATCTCAATTCTTGAACCTGAATAAATCTTTCTTGTCCAAAATCAAGAAGCTGTTTTTGTTGCGAATTTTGTTTTGGCAGGGATTTATAAACAGTGTAGATCGGTGCAATGAAGAAGAAAGTGAGAGTGAGAACCAGAGGAGGCAACAACAATCGATTGTAACTCCATAACTAAATACTATATAGCAAAAATAGAGAAATCTGTTTGTATTGTACAGTTAAAACTATAGAGTGAACACTACAAGAATGCATGGCACTTTCCGACAACAATTTCTGAAAAAATGTGTTCTCGGAAATTTTCCTATGCAGTTCTGACTAAGTTCCAACAAATTACAAATTTTGTTGGAAATATCTGAGAATACTGTTTTCTCGGAAATTTGTCAGAAATCTTTATCAGAAACTTCTCCGAAATTTTCGAGAAATAGTATTCTCGGAAATGTTGTTGGAAAGTTCTCTGAAATTTTCTTGAATAAATTATTGTCGGAAAGTTGTGAGAAAATTTATCGGAAAATCATCGTAAGTTTCTCATCAATTATGTATTTCAAACATTTCCGACGAATTTCCAATAATTCTGCAATTTCTTTCGGAAATTTCTGGGAAAACTTTATTCTTATATTATTGCAGCTCAACTTTATTATTTGTTGTTCCATGTTTTGATTTTTATTCAAAGACAAAACTTTATTCTTATAATGATTAATTACTTATGGTTCCGAGAAAATTCTGACAAACCACATGTTGATTCTTGGAATTTCATTGGAAAGTACTTTGTCAGAATTTTCTCCGAAATCCAGTTTCTCGGGAAGTTTTGCTATATTAACTGTCCCAACAATTCACCATCTTCAAATAATTCTCCACTCTTCACTTTTTATTCTCAACTATATCTCCCTCTTGCGACCATCTCTCTCGTGACCATCTCACTTTCTCGTGCAACCTTCTCTCTTATCTTTTTTACGACCATCTCTCTCTCTTGCCAACTATTTTTTAATGTAATTATGAACAATATTATTTTCAGGTTTTTAATATAGTTTTATCAGAACGATGAGTTTACCAGTAGCATATGCTTCAATTAGAACAGTATTTAATATATTTTTTTAAATATTTATATTTCTTTGGAAATTTATCGGAAATTTATATTTCTTTGACAATATTCTTACAAATTCATTTTTTCGAAATTTTTTCTAGAAAATTCTTTGGAAATTTCTGAGAACTTTCCGACAACCGTTTCAAATTTCCGACAACATACCGACAATCTTATATTTCAGAGAGTCAAAATCCGACAACACACGATTTATCGGAATTTTGTCGGAAACAGTGTCATCGGAAAACGCCATGCATTCTTGTAGTGGAATGGTGATTGGATGCTCATAGATCATATCATATATGGATGGATCGTCAATAGAACTGGAAATTACTAATATTAATTTGGTAGCATATATAGAAATAATTTAACTGGATAAATAACCCACACAAAAGCTTCAAATTTGCATGGAAAAACTTGAATTACACGTTTCAGGCTGTAGAATTCTCTTTTTGGTTCTAGAGAATATGATCACTGTGCTTCTTCTCAGTTCTTTACATTTGTTTCCTATAGATTCTTCTGGATATCCTTTTTTTTATATAGTGAAAAAAAAAAAGAAAGTCTTCTTAATAGTGGCTTGCGTTCCTTCCTTCCTGACAGCTAAAACAATCACAGGTACTGTGACAAATGAGATAGAGACACAGTAATAGATGCTTGTGTTGCAAGGAAGCGATACTTCATCGCAGTTCCAAGAAGAGATAATACTTATTCTCTTTGGCTTCTCGTTGGTTTTGCAGAGCTTTCAAAATAATTTATTTGCATGCCTTCTGTCCATAGTGCGCATCATAGTTTTTAATCGATTAGATTAATTTATTTTTAGTATCACAACGCAATTGAACAAATCATATAAATCAAACTCGAACAAAGAAAAAAAAGTATCATGACAAAAGAAACCAAACAAACAAACACATAGATTTCTCAAACTATTCAGCAATATTGACTGGTGAGTTTTGTTTCACGGGGGAAAAGACGAAAGACGATGACTTGAAAAGTAAGCCAACTCTGCTCTGAACTCCAACAATTTCTTTTTCAACCTTATCTTCTTACTCAGAGCTCTCTTTACGTCGACCACATGATTATCATTACCCATAGCAAATCGTCTCTTCTTGACTTGTACTCTTTTGTAATATTATATCTAATTTCTTTTTCATTAATTTGGTTGTGTATATCTTTTAATTTGGTTGGACCAAAATGTTTGGAACACAAATACATTCACTCTCTTTGCTCAACGTGAATAATACTTCATACAAAGACTTGATGGTGAGTCAATCTGAGTGAATCTGGAGCACTCTATATGCAATGTATATAAAGAGACGGGGCATGAAACCATGTTTTGCTATCACCATTTCCATCTTACGCTTCTTCATTATTGGTATTCAAGAGAAATTAAATTAGCTTAAAGAAGAAGAATGAAAGGCTCTGGGAACTCAATGAGGACCATTCATATTACTTTTTCTTTTCTCTTCTCTTTCATATTTTACTTTCAAAACGTGTCTGCAGTTCCTACTAAACATGTGTGTCCTCCTGAACAAAGGGATGCACTACTCGAGTTCAAGAACGAGTTTGAGATTGGAAAGTCTTCTTTTGATCTTGTGTGTCATTACTCTATTGGTGGAGCTGCTTATCCGAAGACGGAGTCATGGAAACATAACAGTGATTGTTGTTATTGGGATGGTATCACGTGCGATGCCAAGTCTGGGGAAGTGATCAAGCTCGACCTCAGCTGCAGTTGTCTCCATGGCAGGTTTCATTCGAATACCTTTCACAACATTCGTTTTCTATCTTCTCTAGACCTTTCAAAAAATGATTTATTTGGTCAAATCCCATCCTCCATTGGAAAACTCTCTCATCTTACCTCTCTCAACCTTTCTCGTAATCAGTTTTTGGGTCAGATTCCATCTTCAATTGGAACTCTTTCGCATCTCACCTCTCTCAGCCTTTCTTTTAATCAGTTTTCGGGTCAGATTCTGTCTTCAGTAGGAAACCTTTCACATCTCCAAGCTCTTGACCTCAGCTGTAACAGTTTCGATGGTGAAATCCCATCTTCTCTTGGCAGTTTGAAACAGTTGACCTACTTAGATTTAGACTTCAGTAAGCTTAGTGGTAACTTTCCTGTTGCGCTACTTAATTTGACAAAGCTGTCGTATTTATCACTGAGCTCCAATCAATTCACAGGAATGCTTCCTCCAAACATTAGCTCACTCTCCAACTTGGAGTATTTTTACGCAGATGATAACAATTTCGTTGAAACCATTCCTTCTTCTCTTATCGCCCTTCCTTCTTTGGCCAGTATTTATTTGTCAAATAACCAACTCAACGGCACTCTTGAGTTTGGGAATATATCTTCACCACCTAAGCTTCAAGTGTTATACCTTGGCGGTAACAACTTCAGAGGGCCAATCCCCAGATCCATTTCCAAATTAGTCAATCTTGAGAGGCTTGACCTTTCCCATTGGAACACCCAAGGCCCAGTTGACCTCACTATCTTCTCGCATCTCAAGTCGCTCCAAGTAATTAGATTATCCCATTTGAACACTACAACAACGATTGACTTGAATGCAATCTCATCATTCTCCAAGTCACTCGGAGTATTAGATCTCTCAGGGAACCATGTTTTAGCCACAAACAACAAAAGTTCAGTTTCAGATTCCCCTTCACAGATGATATTTTATTTAAACTTGTCAGGCTGCGGTATTACCCAATTTCCAGAACTTCTAAGAACCCAGCAGCGTATGCAGAGACTAGACATTTCCAACAACAAAATCAAAGGTCAAGTTCCTGGCTGGTTATGGACGCTACCATATCTGTATTACGTTAATCTTTCTAACAACACTTTCGTCAACTTCGAAAGATCAATGAAACATGGACTATCCTCTGCCCTGGAGTACTTTTCTGGCTCTAAAAACAACTTCACAGGAGAGATTCCATCTCTCATACGTGAGTTGCGCTCTCTAGACATTCTCGATTTATCAAGCAACAACTTCAGAGGAGAGATTCCATCTCTCATATGCGAGTTGTGCTCTCTAACCATTCTAGATTTATCAAAAAACAATTTCAATGGTTCAATCCCTCCATGTATGGGAAATCTCAAGAGCAATCTCTCAGTTCTGAACCTACGTCAGAACCGTCTTAGTGGAGGTCTTCCGAAGAATGTATTTAAAGGTCTAAGAACGCTTGACCTTGGACACAACAAATTGGTGGGAAAGCTTCCAAGATCTTTGATTCATTTCTCCACTCTCGAAGTTCTGAATGTGGAAAGCAACAGAATCAACGACACGTTTCCGTTCTGGTTGAGTTCTCTACAGAACCTGCAAGTTCTTGTCTTACGCTCCAATGCATTCCATGGACGGATACATCAAGCCTCGTTTTTTCAGCTGAAAATCTTGGACATCTCACATAATCACTTCAGCGGAACTTTGCCATCTGATTGTTTTGTGAGTTGGAGTGCAATGGCATCACTTGGTGGGACGAGACAAGATCGGTCCATTGAAAATTACATGGGAGACCGGTATTACTATGATTCAATGGTTTCAATGAATAAAAGTGTAGTATTGGAGCTGGTACGTATCCTAAAAATCTACAGAGCACTCGACTTCTCTGGAAACAAACTTGAAGGAGAGATTCCTGGTTCCATCGGCTTATTGAAAGAGCTTCATGTACTCAACTTGTCAAACAACGCTTTCAATGGCCACATACCATCGTCCATGGGGAACCTGACAGCTCTCGAGTCACTAGACGTTTCCAACAACATAATCAAAGGTCAAGTTCCTAGCTGGTTATGGACGCTACCAAATCTGAATTACGTTAATCTTTCCAACAACACTTTCGTCAACTTCGAAATATCAATGAAACATGGACTATCCTCTGCCCTGGAGTACTTTACTGGCTCTAAAAACAACTTCACAGGAGAGATTCCATCTCTCATACGTGAGTTGCGCTCTCTAAACATTCTCGATTTATCAAGCAACAACTTCAGAGGAGAGATTCCATCTCTCATACGTGAGTTGCGCTCTCTAAACATTCTCGATTTATCAAGCAACAACTTCAGAGGAGAGATTCCATCTCTCATATGCGAGTTGCGCTCTCTAACCATTCTAGATTTATCAAAAAACAATTTCAATGGCTCAATCCCTCTATGTATGGGAAATCTCAAGAGCAATCTCTCAGTTCTGAACCTACGTCAGAATCGTCTTAGTGGAGGTCTTCCGAAGAATGTATTTAAAGGTCTAAGAACGCTTGACCTTGGAAATAACCAATTGGTGGGAAAGCTTCCAAGATCTTTGATCCATTTCTCCGCTCTTGAAGTTCTGAATGTGGAAAGCAACAGAATCAACGACACGTTTCCTTTCTGGTTGAGTTCTCTACAGAACCTGCAAGTTCTTGTCTTACGCTCCAATGCATTCCAAGGACGGATACATCAAGCCTCGTTCCTTCAGTTGAAAATCATGGACATCTCACATAATCACTTCAGCGGAATTTTACCAGTGGATTGTTTTTTGAACTGGAGTAAAATGTCATCTATTGGGATAAACGAAGATCAGTCGACTGAAAAGTACATGGGAGGAGTCTATTACCAAGATTCGATGGTTTTGATGAATAAAGGTGTAGCATTGGAGCTGGAACGTATCCTAACAGTCTTCACAGCACTCGACTTCTCTGGAAACAAACTTGAAGGAGATATTTCAAAGTCCATCGGCTTATTGAAAGAGCTTCATGTACTCAACTTGTCAAACAACGCTTTCAATGGCCACATACCATCGTCCATGGGGAACCTGACAGCTCTCGAGTCACTAGACGTTTCCCAGAACAAGCTTTCAGGAGAAATTCCACAAGAGCTAGGGGATCTCTCGTTCCTTTCATACATGAACTTCTCCCATAACCAGCTTGTAGGTCTAGTACCAGGAGGCACTCAGTTTCGAACGCAGCCTTGCTCTTCCTTCGCAAACAACCCGGGACTTTTCGGCCCTGCTCTTGAAGATGATTGCGGAGATATCCACAAGCCTTCATCGCAACAGTCTGAAACGCCAGAACCAGAAGAAGAAGATGAAGAGGTGTTCAGTTGGATTGCAGCTGCAATAGGATTTGTACCTGGTATTGCGTTTGGGTTGGCGATTGGATACATATTGGTTTCATACAAACCAGAGTGGTTCACGAGTCCTTTTGGCCGAAACAAACGCAGAAGAAGAAGAAGCACCACAGCTAACTAGAGAGGTAATGTTTCTGAATTTGAAAAAATATATTATAATGAATAACTGAAACTAACGTATATTTTGTTTTGCGTAGCCTTTGTAAACCCAACTTGAAGAATCTTTGCAACCAAACTAAATGGACCGGAGAGAAAGAAGCTTGGGGGAGAAGGCAACCCATTTATCAGTGTCTTGATTTCAGTTATTGTTTCCGGTTACTCTGTTTTTGTTGTGTTCTTTCCTCTGTTTTTCTCTTTTACCTTGTCTTTAGCCAATGTTTGTATTTCTATGTATTCCTGTTTATTTGATGGACATGATTATACATAGTCAGGATCATATCAAAATGCTGCATTGATTCTTACATCAGTTCTGTTCTTCGCTGCTGCTATAGCTATATGGTATATTAATTAATATAGATTCTACGGTATAACATAAACCGTTGATAAAAACATAAAAACAAGAATAATCTGAGTTAAAAAACAACAGGGGAGAAAAGTTTTGAGGGTAATCGATTAATAGAGCCTACCGGTACACTCAGAAGAACCACAGTAGCAAATCTTCTTCTTGATATTACCGTTAACATCGCGCACCTGATCGATCATGTAATTATAATGGTAAGTGAGTTCTTGAAGCGGAGGTATATTGTCCATCGCAAAGAGCATCACGTGAGGGATCCTCTTGTCTTCATGATCATACAAAACGTTCTGCGCATACAGATTCGGCAAGCAGCTATGGTTTATAAACCTCCCGATGTTCCCTTTCTTCGCGGCGTCTACGGTGAACCCCGTCGTCTCACCACCATCGCCGCCATCATCTTCTTCTTTCTCTTTCTCTTTAAGGCCTAAAGCTTTTATATTTACTGCTATGTTTTACTCAAATTTGTTGCTTCTTCTAGGGGACATTTCAATCTGAGTAATTTCGAAGATGGTGTGTTGTCACTTCATTTATGGCTGGACTTCTTATTGCATCACCAATCTTTGCTTCATTAGCAAAAAGGTTAGGAAACATTTTTCATTTTTTTCTTCAAGGCCTAAACAAAACATAGCTTATTGAAGTGGTTTATTGTTTGTAGTGCAGTTTCAATCCATTTAGACTTATTGGAGTAGGCTTAACTGTTTGGACTATTGCAGTTCTTGGTTGTGGCAGTTCCTTTGCCTTTTGGTTTATCGTCTTATGTCGCATGTAAGTTAAGTTTTGTTCTTGTTTATCATTTGACTTTGCCTGTTCCAGATTATGATTTGTGAATTATTATTATTATTATTACTCGATAGGTTCGTTGGTGTAGGTGGAGCTTCTTTCATCAGTCTTGCAGCTCCGTTTATAGATGATAATGCTCCTCACAAACAGGTTTCTCTTTTAACCTTTTGCACATCTCATGGAGTCCATTTCTGATTAACTCTTTTGCTTGTTCTTCAGAAAGCTGTGTGGCTTGGTGTGTTTTACATGTGTATACCAAGTGGTGTTGCTTTGGGCTATGTCTATGGCGGATACGTACGTATATTGCTGGGACTATGATATTAGTTTATAGAAAGTTGTCTTAAAGGTTCAAAATTTGTGATTTTCAGGTTGGAAAGCATTTTAGTTGGCGCTATGCGTTTTGGGGAGAAGCTGTATTAATGGCTCCATTTGCTGTTCTTGGTTTCTTGATGAAACCTTTGCAGTTAAAAGGTTAAGAACAGATTCTGTCTTGTGTTATTAAATGCATAGACTGTTAAAGATATTGTGATCTGAGAAGATGAAAATGAAACATGGTTTCCTTCTACTGATTCGATAAAGATGGCTTCATCAGTTGGTAAAAACAACAATCATCTTCAAGCTGGTGGTAATGAGATTGAGGTCTCCATTGAAACTTACAAGTGAGTTTGATTTCATTTATCTTAAAACTTTTTCTTCCATACGTTTCGTATTAGTTTTATCAAATATTTTTACTTCAACTGTGACAGGTCAAGTTACAATAACTCAGTTTCGAAATCATTTACTCAATTTGGGAAAGATATGAAAGTTCTATGTAAAGAAAAGGTCTTTGTTGTCAATGTCTTAGGTAATTATATTTTCTGTCCTCTTTGCTTTTCACTATTCTTCTTACTTATCTTCTTCATTGATTGATATAACTTTGCCTTAACAGGTTATGTATCATACAACTTTGTTATTGGAGCATACTCATATTGGGGACCAAAGGCTGGTTATAACATTTACAAAAAGGTGAAACAGTTTGTTTGTTTCTATCAATCTTTCTTCTTGAGTGTTCTTGAAAGATTCAAACTTTTGTTCTATCTTGTCAGAAAAACGCCGATATGATCTTTGGGGCAGTAACTATCATTTGTGGGATCATTGGGACATCATCAGGAGGGTTAATACTCGATCGAGTCACTGCAACAATTCCAAATGCTTTGAAGGTGAAGACGAAAAGCTTTTTTTTCTCTCTTCTTGCTTTCGGATTTTGAATCAAAACCTTTTGATTGATACGTATGTATGCAGCTTTTATCCGGAGCAACGTTTCTTGGAGCGATCTTTTGCTTCACTGCATTTACCTTAAAGAGTTTATACGGTTTCATCGCTCTCTTTGCCTTAGGAGAGCTTCTTGTCTTTGCTACACAGGTAAAAAACTTGGAGCCTTAGTGTTGTTGTAATATTGTTATATATCTCAATCTTCTTCTTCTCTTCTTCTTGAGGCTCCTGTGAATTATGTGTGTTTGCATTGTGTGAAACCAAGTTTAAGACCATTATCAATGGCTATCTCTACCGTCGCGATTCACATATTTGGCGATGTTCCTTCTTCTCCTCTTGTCGGCATCGTTCAGGTAAAAAAATGATCTCTTCTAGTCATCGCCATTACTTGAAAAGAGAGAACAGAAAATAAAATGCTGCATTGTTGTTGTATTTGCAGGATCATATCAACAGGTGGAGAAAAACAGCATTGATTCTTACGTCGGTTCTCTTCTTAGCTGCTGCAATATGGTTTATAGGTAAAAAGCAAATCTCAATTCTTGAACCAGAATAAATCTTTCTTGTCCAAAATCAAGAAGCTGTTTTTGTTGCGAATTTTGTTTTGGCAGGGATATTTATAAACAGTGTAGATCGGTGCAATGAAGAAGAAAGTGAAAGTGAGAAGCAGAGGAGGCAAGACCAATCGATTGTAACTCCATAAATGAATAAATACTATATAGCAAAAATAGAGTTAGTTTCTTTGTATGTTTATGTTTATTATGTTTGTTGCATATAATGGTTAAAAGTTAAAACTATAGAGTGAATGGTGATTGGATGCTCATAGATCATATCATACATGGTGGATCATCGTCAATAGAACTGGAAATTACTAATATTAATTTAGTAGCAAGTATAGAATTAATTTAACTTGATAGGAAACCCACACACAAAAGCTTCAAATTTGCATGGAAAAACTTGAATTACTGTGCTGTAGAATTCTCTTTTTGGTTATAGAGAATGTGATCACTGTGCTTCTTCGTAGTTCTTTACCTTTTTTTCCTTTCCTATAGATTCTCTTGATATCGTTTTTTTCTGGATTTATGTTTTTGTTCTTGTTGTCTTCTTTCACTAAAGAAAAATCTTCTGCTTTCTCATGAATTTTCATGTACCGCCTTCCTAAAACACATGATAAAACCGTTACAATTGATATACCTACCTGGATGAAATACCATTAATCTAAAATAGAGTTTTTCATGGTTTTTTTTATTTGTTTATCTTAGATTATAACAAATAAATGCAGAGCAAAATTGTTTGTCGATGATGATCAAAATTTCTTAAGAGTTGTTTGTATATATATTGGCGTGAAAAAGTGGGAAAACTTGGAACATTACCATTTTGGATACATCTTGCTAGAAAAACAAACTAATAAGTACTATAGTCATTAATTTGGTTGTGTATATCTGTTAATTTGGTTGGACCAAAATGTTTGGAACACAAATACATTCACTCTCTTTGCTCAACGTCAATAACACTTCGTACAAAGACTTGATGGTGAGTCAATCTGAGTGAATCTGGAGCACTCTCTATATGAAATGTATATAAAGAGACGGGCATGAAACCATGTTTTGCTATCACCATTTCCATCTTTCGCTTCTTCATTATTGGTATTCAAGAGAAATTAAATTAGTTTAAAGAATAAGAATGAAAGCTCTTAACATTCATACCAAAAAAAAAAAAAGAAGAATGAAAGGCTCTTGGAACTCAATGAGGACCATTCATATTATTTTTTCTATTCTCTTCTCTTTCATATTTTCTTTTCAAAACGTGTCTGCAGTTCCTGCTAAACATTTGTGTCCTCCTGAACAAAGGGATGCACTTCTCAAGTTCAAGAACGAGTTTGAGATTGGAAAGTCTTCTTGTTACTGGTGTTATTATATTAATGGTAGAGCTCCTTATCCGAAGACGGAGTCATGGAAACATAACAGTGATTGTTGTTATTAAGATGGTATCACGTGCGATGCCAAGTCTGGGGAAGTGCTCGAGCTAGACCTCAGTTGCAGCTGTCTCCATGGCAGGTTTCATTCATACCTTTCAAAACATTCGTTTTCTAACAACTGATTTTTATATAATGATTTTTATGGTCAAATCCCATCTTCAATTGGAATTTTTTCACATCTCACCTCCCTCGACCTTTCTGATAATCAATTTTCGGGTCAGATTCCATCCTCCATTGGAGACCTTTCACATCTCACCTCTCTCGGCCTTTCTTTTAATCAGTTTTGGGGTCAGATTCTTTCCTCAATTGGAAACCTTTCACATCTCACAACTCTCGACCTTTCTGATTATCAGTTTTGGGGTCAGATCTCATCCTCAATTGGAAACCTTTCACATCTCACCTCTCTCCAACTTTTTAGAAATTGGTTTTAGGGTCAGATTCCATCTTCAATTGGAAAACTTTCTCATCTCGAATATCTTGACCTGAGTTGTAACAATTTGGATGGTGAAATCCCATCTTCTTTTGGCAGTTTGAAACAGATGACCGAGTTAGGATTATTCTCCAATAAGCTTAGTGGTAACTTTCCTGTTGCACTACTTAATTTGACAAAGCTGTCGTATTTATCAACTCACAAGAACGCTTCCTCCAAACATTAGCTCACTCTCCAACTTGGAAAGTTTTGATGCACTGATAACAATTTCGTTGGAACCATTCCTTCTTCTCTCTTGACCATTCCTTCTTTGGCCAATTTTTACTTGTCAGATAACCAACATGTTGAATCAGAAAATCGCATTAGGGTTTAATTAACAGTTGTGGGGTTTGGAGAATAAGGTCTTTTATTGATAGCAAGTAAGCGAAACGATTACAAAGAAAGGTATAACCGAGAGGTTATGCCGAAGTGAAAAAGGTGATTGTGAAGTAAACTAGAAAGCGTTGGAGTCTCTGGTTTTAGCTCTGCTGCTCTCTATAATGTATGAGTTATCCTTCTTGGCTTCGAGGTCCTCTTTATTTATAAGGATAGGAGGTCGGTTGCTTCAAACTCTTTTTCTTTTTTGCTTTTGGTGAATATTTCCATATTTGCGATATAGAAATATCCCTTATTCTCTGAGAGATATGGAGATTCTCCTTTATCCTTCGAGTTGATCCGACGTTTCCAGTCTTCGATGGTTATCTTCAGGATATTTCCTTTAGTCCGAGCTAGGTCGGCGCGGTCTTTATGGTCCTGATGGGCTTAAGTTACTGCTAGGGAAAGCCTTTTAGGAAATGTGCTCATTTCTCCTCTAACAGTAAGCCCCCCCCCATTCGGCGAGACTGATTGTAAATCAGGTCGGCGGACTTCATGAAGTTTTAAATGGGTTTGATCTCGCAATAAGTGTTAGCTCGTCGAGAGCGTTGTTTCGTGATGGCTAGCTCGGCTTGATTTCAAGTGGACTTAACGCGTGGCGCTTTCTTTGAATTAAATATTAAATACTCCGACCCTTTTAGGGTTTTGCTTTTAAGCGGAAAATGCAAGTGGTTTGCCATGCGGCGAGATTGTTGGAATCTTGACACGCGTCTCTTTAGGAAACTGTTGATATTTCTTTCTGATTTTATTTACTTATTTTTACCTCTTCGTCTTCTTGCTCTGGCGATTTTCATCCTTCTTTCTCAAAGATTTTCTTTCTTCATTCTCCTTGATTTTGGATTAAAAGTATGGGGCTAAGGAAGAGAAGCAAGATTCCTTCGCTTGACGTTGATATCCCCGATTTCCCTCCGAGTAAGAAGCCCAGATCGGAGGATCCACCGCAGGATCCGATTACTGAAGATACGCCATCGAACGAGTCTACCACGGAAATTCCTCTGCAAGGTCCTGCGATCGAGCGAGGAATTCCAGCGGGAGGTCTGGAGGTCGAACCGCCAATTGAGGAGCAAGGCTCCGCTTCTGCGTCGCCTGGCGAGCAGGATTTTAATCGGACGGGTCCGTCGAGCGGCTCGCTGAAAGATGCCGGTGAGGAGCCCGGTTTCAATCCTCATGAATTCCTGCTACGTTGGAGTTGGGATTCTCCGGCAATGCTCAGCGAGTATTTCGCGGTAAACTTGGTCTGGCATTGTAGGGTGAAGCCTAACCACAAAATGTCGGTAGAGGAGTTGAAGTGATTCTCTTGTTTCTCCAGGATGGCGCAGCACATTATGCAAGGCTTAGGTTTATGCACATCTTTAGTCGAGTCATATGACAAAGAATCCGCTCGGGAGGGGAACAAAGCTGAAGAGCTGATAGCTAAGGAACGAGAGCTTTGGGGTGCCTTGGCGAAGATCAAAGAGCTTGAGCGCGAGAAGCTCAAATTGGAACTGGAATGTAATTCTCTTAAGGTTGAGTCTGCCAAAGAGAAGCAACTTCACCGGGAAAGTCTGGAGAGGAGAATGGCCGAAGAGGCCAAAAAGACAGCTGCTGCCGAGAAAGAGTTTCAGGATCATCAACGCAAATCAGTCGATCGCGTGGTTGATCTGACGTACCGTCATCTTCGTGAGTGGTATGATCCCGTATTGAGCATATCAAGGCTTTCATGGCGCAAGAACCTGACATTTATCAGTTGGAGCTCCGAATTGTTGACGCCGAGACAAGAGCAGATTGCTATAAGCAACTCAAGTCGGCGGGTCATGAGGTCCCGACTAAGGAACTTCTGTCTCACTCCACCAAAGCCGATCGCCTGAAGGTAGAGCGTCACAGGATGAGGGATGCTCCGCTTTCTTCAGATGACTTCGCTGCTCCAACTCGAGTTCATATGCGACCTCCTGACGCGGAGCTAGAAGCGGCAGGGATCCATTCGCCGAAGCGTCGTTCAAGACTTTTGTAATTTGTAGTGTTTTTTTTTTGTTTTTTGTACGTCAGACGAATGTTTTCCTAATGAATAAAGATAATTTGATAGTTTTATTATCCCTGTCTATTTATCCTTGTTGACGAGATAATCCTTAAGTGTAAGGTTTTTGCGAAGTTAAAAAGTTTATTTTGCCTTGCGGTGCGGGGGCATTCTTTAGGCCGGTGCTGGAAGCGGGATTCATTTGCCCGTCTTATTCCAAACGACGATCAAGATCGAATACCAAGCTTTCAGGATTCGCTTCGGCCTGAAAGGTATGATCGAGGGTCGTACGAGCATTGTCCTCGGCTTTCATCTTATCTACTTTAGAAGTAATTAAATCAAACTGAAGTGTCAAAGGAGTGGTGATCAGCTACTAATTTAGTTTTTACGCTTGCTTTTTATAATCGAATGTTTGGCCAGAACATCGATTTAGCAAAATGCATTCACATGAAAAAATATGACTTTATATGCCGAGCTGATCGATTTTGACCCATGCAACTACCGATGACTTCGAGCTAGTTGCGAAGATATTTTTATTAAGATAGTGACTGGGCCCAGAGGCTGCCTACGTACCTAAAAAGGGATCAAGTCATCCGTAGTTTATAATAAGCGATTCTGCCGGTTAAGCGTTGTACTTCGCGTGTGTTTTTGGGTGGCGGGAGGTCCAGAATTTGGGTTTACTTCTATCCCCCTTTGAGTAACAACGTAACCTAGGAATTCTGCTGAGGTTACGCCGAACGTGCATTTAGCTGGATTCAATTTCATTCAGTATTTTTTGAGGGTTTTGAAGCAGTCCCTGAGGTGGCCGACGTGATCTTTGGCGACCACGGATTTGACTAGCATATCGTCAATGTAAACCTCCATGGTACGGCCGAGCTGAATTGCGAA